ACTAACCTACCTTATATTAATGCGTTGCAAGAACTCATCATTTCACATAATTCATCTACTCATATATATTCACTTTGTTGCCATAATTTAACAACTGGTTATTTCTCAGCATAAGAGCAGACCCATATTACTGAATGAAGCAGGTAGTTAGATATCATATAAATTAGTCTGTTTGTATGGCTTTAATTTGATAACTATAGCTTTGTCTTGTAAAAGAAACTTGTTGAAATACTTTATGCTTAGAATTGTATATTGTATCAAATATATAATATTCGATAAATCCATTAATAATAATAAATGATCTAATCACCTGGAAGGCATTAGTGATGCACTCGACGTCAAACACAGAAACGAAATATCTAATATTATACTAAATTGACGGTGATGATGAGTTGGAAGATGACATAGAAGTAGATAAATTAAAGACAATAGATGTGAAAAAAATGTTGACAATTTTTCACAAGAGTGACTATTTATCAGTTTGTGAAGGTTAAAGAATTAGAGGTCAATGAAAACGCGGCAACAAGGCATTTAAAAAAAGAAAAAAAAGAATGACATCAACTATTCAAACTTAGCTATAAAAGAAAGATTCACAGGTAAGACAAACAAAGCTTAGATAAGCAGAAAAAAAAAACGGTTTATCGATTGAGATCATAAAATGAGATGTTAAATAACAAGATATGATATTGGGGTTACAAGGTCAAATTAAGAAAAAATTGATAAATGTCTTTTCGTATACATATTTAAATCACCTTATACACGCTTCACTGTGTTTACCTGGTAAATTAAATATCAAATCAAAATAGAACACTAAAAATCCTATCATAATATCAGTTCATGATATGAGTGAATGTTAATCATGTAATAATCGCTACTTCGAATTTTCGGCATACAATATACATTGAAATTGATAAGTTTGAACCGTTAAATACGCCATGCTCTTCAGATTTCAAATAGCCCGGATATTGCTGAATTCTCTTGAAAATAAGTATGATGAAAAATCAGTTTTTTGCAGGTTATATATATACTTAAACAAGTTTCCCTCTGTAGAATTGATTATGTAGCAGTTATTGTCATCATCAATATCACTGTTATTAATACAAGGATCAATATGCTTTTGAAAAAAAATAGACTCATAATAATATGTAAATGTGTGCCTGCTTTTGTTTCAAAAGAATTCTAATTTACTATTTCTGTTATACTGTCAATATTGAGAACTCAATTGTTGAAAGTATGGAACTGAAAACAACTGTCAACCAATATCAAAGTCACAATCTCCAATACGAACGTCAGAACAGTTCTACTATACACAGCTGAAATTTCGAGAACTACCACAACTATCATAGAAAATGTACATGTATTTATAAACAACTATCTACGCAAGATACTCGATGCCCTGTGTCGACTGAAAACTATTAGCAACAGCCTACTGTGAGAGAGAACAAACCAACCTCCAACTGGAGAGGAAATTAGGAAAAGACGTTGGAAGTGGATAGAACATACATTACGGAAGTCACCAAACTACATCACGAGGCGAGCTCTAACGTGGGATCTTGAAGGGAAACAGAAAAGAGGAAGGCTAAAGAACACTGCGTGGGGAATCGAAAGTAGACATGAAATTTCTGAATGACAACCGGAAAGTAGTGGAAAGCATTGGAAAGATATTCATGTATATCCGTACCTTCTCATAAAAGTGTAAATGAGATAGTTTATAACTTTGAATGGATAATTAGGATTAAGCGAGAAAGTGCCATTCGATACACGGCTACTAGAAGTACATATATATTACTCAAACTGCAGAATGTGTCCACATCACTAATTAAATAGATCGTGTTCTGTATCATCCATAGATTTTTACCAAATATTTGCAGTCTTAAGAAACCTGTTTGCTTACTTATCGAATCCTCCTATACTCATCTCAAAGTTACTTTTTTTAAACAATGCTGTACAATCCATATTTTGGTAAAAAGCTATTATCATAGATTAAAGAAAACTCTTGAAAAAAACTGCTTTGAAAAATGTTCAACTAAAAAGGACTCACCGAAAAAATAGTGGACGGTCGAGCAGTATCATGGATTGGTTGAAGTTAGACATTAACACCGTTGAATGCCAGCTCAGTGGTCTATAGGTTAGGCATCGCGCGCGAGACCGAAGGTTCTGAGTCTGAGTCCCGCATGCAAGATCGTAGATGTGCGCTGCTGACGAGTCTCACACTAGGACGAAACGGCCGCTCCTTACTTCCAGGTTTTCGATGGTGGTCTAACATTAATCCATTCATGATATCAATCTAAACTGAAAAGTGCTATATTAAAACAGAATGAAGACGACTTCACCTAAGTATTGTATTCGAAAACTATTTAAACGTAGATCTTATTTTTATACAGGGTTACAAAGAACGTACGTTTCGTTCTTATTAACTTCAAATACTCTTGAGAAGGTAAATATATTCACCTAGTAAATAAACATACTTCTGATTTATAAGTAACTTTACGCGTTGAACTTCATACAGAATGACAATAACTCACTATTGTGTGTCAAGTGGATTCAGAGTAATTAATAGATGAAAAACTTCAGTTTTCCTCAATTAAACATTCTCAAAAAAAGATTTGTCATAAACATTGGTAATCTCTAGTCTCCAGATTATATGACAACATGTGTTCTTTTCTGAAAAATGTTTTATTAATACGAACTGTTGAATCTTTTTCTTAATCCTTCCTTTCTGTGCGTAATAACAATAATAACATTATAATTACTATTATTGTTAATAGCTTCATCCATTTACTGTTTTACTTCAGATGATTTTTCACATGATTACATAGTTGCTTTAAGTATGTTTTCTTCCCTTGTATCTTTATAATTACCTTAACTATTCCAAGATATCATTTCCCTGCAGATACAAATTAATTCTATATTAACCAATTAACATTAAATATAGTATACTGTGAAGTTAGATCAGATATGATTGCCATGATTAGATTAAAACATAAATCCTTGTATAGTCAATACATATGAATGTATACATAGAATATTCGAATGTTCTTATACTTCATTCTGATACTCTAATTCGACTTAACTATATAAAGAGTATGCATGAGATAAACTATATTTATAGTAATTAAATTAAACAGACTTAATCATTTTCCCTACAAAATATTTTGTTCAATCATCATGAATTTCTGGAATCATCGAAGTCTTTGAAAAATTCAATATAATGGTATTCTGTTGTATTTATTCTTATCTAATTTAAAAAAAACTACTGTTAGATTATCACAGTAATTGTTCATCTCAGTTTCTTTTTGATTTCCTGAGATCATCTCTAATATCTCAAACTAACTATCACGAAATGTTCACATCAAACATAGAAAAAAATGAAAACAGATTGCATAACTAAATGTATCACATTAAATCGGCTGTTCGATTCGTACTTTCACTATGGTTACAAAACAGACATATTCATCTAATTGGCAGTTCCACATAACATAAATACTGATTTCATATTATCATCATCATTATATTTATGTGGATAGTTGAACTTTAAAAAAACCACATTAAGTCAACTCTTTTATGATTTATGCTTCGTTTGTCTCACTTATTTTCACTAGCAGAGTAAATGATATTTTGCATTTTGTTATTGACTGTCTAGGCATTACAGACTGGAAATCCTGATGATTTTATTTGTAGACTCTTCTTTTTCCAGTTTTTATCATATTCCAAATAATTAATTATTGTCCATTGATTATTTTTCATTACAACTAAACTTATTTTTTGTAGTCAGCATATTATAAGTTCGCTCTAATCTTTTATTTTGTTGCATTACACCGGAGATAGATTGATATGCGTACTCACATACTCTTCTCCACAGTTTGAACAAGTGAATCACAGCTTACATTTCAAATTGTATTTTGTTTATCATACCACTTTAATAATAATGGCTTAGTGGTCAGAAATTTTGAACCGCTCGGTTAGGCCATCAATTAATTTTTAGTATAGCTAACTATTCAGTTTCAAGAATTTCGTTCTTACCGTATTGACTAATATACAATGTACGCATTAGTAACTAATTTCATGAGGTAACTCCAAATATCTTACTGGGAACTCGTGAAAAATGGAGCTCAAACGTGTTAGATGTAAGGTAGATACTCACAAAAGACAATGAAAACTAGATGCACAATATCGTGGGTTGGTTAGGGTTAGGCATGTAAACCACTGTTTCCCGACTCGATGATTTAAAGCTTAAACAGTACTGTAAGAAACCTGAAGTTTCTGGACTCGATAATAAACAGGGTTAAGAATGTGTGATTTTGTGATTATTTCCACCATAATTTTAGCCCAATCACACTGACGATAATTTATCACTCTGTTGGCCTTATTCAAATATATCCTTCCCAAAAGTTGTAGGTAAACATGTTTCTACAGTGTGAGGCTCGATCAGTAATAGATCATTTTAAAACTCATGACTACTTGACTGAATGTTATGATTAGTGTTATGCTTTAATTCACCACATCCTTTCTGACACGAAACTGCGACAGGTAATTTTCACTGTTATGAACCGTGATAGTTGTGCTCTGATTGCTTATTAACCAGGGAATTCACTAAGCTAATGATATTTATATTCTAAATACTTCTTTTCAGTGGTGCTTATCTTTTACATAGATGTTAACATTATCTGAACACTGCATAGATTCAAGAAACTAGAACTGCCATGATACCATATTTCTTCCAATTCGTGAAATTCATCCTGTAATTTAATCAAATCTCTAACAAATATCCTGGTATTGTATAGTTACCGTGTGCAAGAATGTAAATATGGCTACACTTATTTCAGCTACTGTTTTTACCGTATGATAATCCAAATAATATTTAGAAGTTATCACTGCATTGTAATATTGGTCTGATTGCTTACAACTTAAACTCAGAAAGCGCATTTAATATGAAATATTGAGAGCAAAGATTTTCTACTTCTCCCATTAATACATCAGAGTAAGTAAGCAACTGTCGTGAATTTGTCTCATTTACATTAGACTTGTAGTTAGAAAAAGTAATTCCAATAATAACAATAACAGTAATAACAATAATTAAAATAAAAGATGTGTCGTTTAAATGAAAAATGAAGATAAATTCTAGATTTAATGTTGTCGGGTCACGGAAACATTAAAAAGATCAATATAATTTGTCATAATCATAACAAAATAAAAATAGGAAGAAACAATGAAATTCAATTGATTGTTCTTATTTTGGATAAAAATCAATTATGTGGATATTGATATTATTATTGCCTATGCATTGTCTTTTATAAACTCTATCTATGATGATACATTTTGTGTACGTGTGTGTGTGTTGAAGAAATACAGTTTCCAAATAGGAAATAGCAGATAATCAAAACATGAGACCAATGTAATGTCATATTGTTTATTGATGACTGGACAGAGAACACAATGAAGCATGAAGTAAGCATAAAATATTTAAAGAGAATGATTCACATTAGGCACATTAATTTTAATGAGTATCCTTGTTGTTCTATTTATTTGTATAAGGGCGTATACGCAATAGATACAAAGAGAATGAGAGATTAATTTATTAATTTAATTATATAGTTCAACCAATCAATTGAGAAATGGACAAATAACTTTGTATCTAATAAATTCTGGTTACTCTTAGGTAATTCTAGTTATTATTATTATTATTATTATTATTATTATTATTAATTGTCATAATCATCAACACCTATCCCATTGTCTTTTTCTCATCAATGTTATTGGAATTCTGTGGGGTTTGTTTTTTGTTATTCATTGAAATATACAACTGAATAAATATTACAATATGTGAATATTTGTGTATGTATACGCTCATAGATTATGTACAACACATTTTTCTGTTTGTATTAGACATTTTGCCAATATTTCTTTTCAATGATGATGACGATGATGTAGTTAATGTGACAACTGCAACTTGTTCATCTTCATTCAACTTCATCCCCCTATAATAATAACAGTAAACATCAATGGTAACATATTTTGTTATTTACATTTATTGTGTATCTAAACAATTGAGTTATTTTAGATAAAACAAATAAGTTTAACAAAATAATTGTTTTCATGAATAAGCAGTAAAATTCATCCCCACAGTGTAAACTAGTAGCTATCCAGACTGAGTGGGTAACACGTTGAACATTTGAAATAACAGTTATAGGGTTCGAGTCCCGATGTGAACAGTCCAGGTATGACTAGCTGATGAATTGTAAATCTAATAAAAATATACATTTTAGATTCCACTGCTAACCCTAATTCATTTTCATTGAAATGACCTAATGACAATATCAAAATAATCTGTACTGGTGTGTGTAGAAATGTTAACCAAAAAAAAGAAAAAAAACTACTGATCACAATTCACTCTTTAACATTAACAACGAATAGATTCAAACATTTATAAATAAACAATCATTATCAAATTATTAAATGATCAATTTAACATAAATTTAATTGACAAGAAACAAAGATGAATTTGGAAAAACATAAAAATAAAGAAACAACTGTTCATTAATATTTAGTTTACATAGAAATAGTTTCATATGATCTAGGGTTTAAATTTATGAAGTTTTATAAATGAAATAACAATGGAAGAATTGGTAAAATAATGAAAGTTTTGTGTTTATTTTCGATATTATTTTTTTTATCTAAATATGTGACAGAAATGATTAGCTTTTTAAAATAATATTTAGTAAATCGATGATTACTTAGAAACTAAACATAATTCAACTACTTATTGAGATTTATGGATAAAAAGTTGACTGAAACATTATCATACACTAGATTTAACATTATTTATTAGATAACTATCAAAACGGAAACGATGAATATGGGGTACTATTCATTGTAATACTCATTAATAAGATTAGGTAGACTTAGTATAGTATATTAAAACTCAAGATTATTTCTTATTTTCGATTTTCTAGCAAGATTTCTTTTGATTCATGAAAAGAACATATTTTTCTTACATAACATAATGTAATTCCACATGGTTGAAAGAATATTTATAATGCAAGATTAAAATAAATTGTTTAAGTGATTTCGCTATAGGTAGGGATTGGTTGTAAATCGGCAATTTTTACATGGTATAATTAAATTCAATACCTCTAAACTGAAAAAGCAATAAAACTTGACGCTATATCTAAACTATATAATTAAATTCAACCTAACCCCACCTGTCGCTCTTCTAAGGCTACTGCCGGTCCTAACAGCGGGTAAAAAAGGAGGGTTAGGCATCGAGTCAGTAACCCCATCCCGTAGAAAACAACCTTGCTAAAAAACGCCAAACAGAATAAACAAATTAAACCGTCTAAACTCTGGACTATGAGTTGAAGGATCTTCATTCACAAGAATTATGACGTCTCATAGTGAAAAGCCGAGATTTTTCGGAAGTCAAAAGGACGATGACTTTGTAACAACCACGACAATAATTAATATTGGTACATGGAACGTCCGGACAATGTGAGAGACCGGGAGGACTAATCAAATAGCAACAGAAATATGGAGATGCAACTTAGCGGTTCTTGGGACCAGCGAAACCCATTGTACTCAAAAAGGACAGAAAAGGTTAGGTACAGGAGAGATGCTGCTGTACTCCGGTCACGAGGAGGAAAACGCTCCACACGCTCAGGCAGTTTCTCTGATGCTGTCCAAAGAAGCACGTAATGCACTTATACGATGGGGATCTCATGCATTCAGGGTCATCAAAGCATTTTTCAAAACAATGAAGGAGGGAATCACAGTGAATGTTATCCAGTGTTATGCACTTATCAATGATAGCAAGCACGACGATAAAGATCATTTTTATGAGAGACTGAACTTCATCATGGCGAAGAGAGATCGGTCAAGGATAAAGAAGGCAAGACAATCACTCAGATTCGAGAGTAGAGGAACAGATGTGTAGAATAGTCAGAGGAACTCTTGAATAGACCAGATTCATTGAATCCACCGAAGATCAAAGCAGCACACACAGAACTTCCCATAGATGTCCATCAGATCATCAAACAGATCAAGAGTGGGGAAGCAGTAGGACCTGAAAATATACCAGCTGAAGCTCTGAAGTCAGACGCATAAGTAACTGCAAACATGATTCACACTCTATTCATGAAGATTTGGGAGGAAGAACAAGTGCCACTGACAGACTGAAAAGAAGGATACCTCATCAAAATACCAAAGAAAGGAGATCTGAGAGGATGTGAGAACTCAGCTACAGAGGCATCACACTACTATCAGTGCCAAGAAACGTTTCCTCCAGAATATTGCTGAAACTGATGAAAGATTCAGTAGACACATAACTTCGAGATCATCAAACCGGATTCCGTAAGGAGCGGTTGTGCACAGACCGAATCGCGACACTACGGATCATCGTTAAACAATCAATTGAATGGGACTCATCACTATAAATCAACTTCTTTGACTATGACAATGTGTTTGACAGTGTGGATAGGAGAACATTATAGAAACTTCTTCGACACTATGGTGTACCTGAGAAGATCGTCGACATCATAAAAAATTCATACGACGTACCACACTGCAAAGTCGTGAATAGAAGACAGTTGATAAACGCATTTCAGGTGAGGACCAGAGTCAGACAAGGCTTCTTACTATCACCCTTTCCCTTTCTACTGGTGGTTGATTGGATTATGAAGCACAGAATACAATGGACAGCTCGGAATCAATTAGAAGATTTGGACTTCGCAGATGACCTGGCCCTTCTATCCCATACATGTCAACAAAAACAGATGAAGACAACTAGTGTAGCAGCAGTCTGTGTATCAGGAGAACACAACATACACCAGGGAAAAAGCAACATTCAAAAATACAACCCGGAGAACACCGACCCAATAACACTTGATGGAGAAGATTCGGAAGAGGTGGAAACCTTCACGTACCATCGATGAACAAGGAGGATCCGATGCAGATGTAAAGGCAAGGATTAGCAAAGTAAGGGTAGCATTCATACAGTTAAACATCATATGGAACTCGAAATAACTATCAACCAATATCAAGGTCATAATCTTTAATTTCTTTGACTTTGAAATTTGATTTTTACCATAACAAACACTTTATTTCAAACTTTATTCGTTAGCTCCATATATCTTTATCTGAATATTACTATTCAATGTTCATTTTTTAATAGTGGCTTTATTAAAAATCATATGTTTAGTACAATATAAAATTCTCAGCACAAAGTATTTCAACAAGTTTCTTTTAAAATACGATAAAAAATAAAAAAACACCTATAACTGGATACATATATACATACATTAAATAAATAAACTACCTGGAATTTAATGACATGTTTTTTTCCCAGAAGATTTGAATCTGTATAACATTGATATTAGAAACATCTCTAAGTATACAAGTTAATGACTACTAGGTCAGTTCTAAAAATCTGTTCGTGACATGGTATATTTTCTAAATAAAATGCTTGCGTGTATAGATTCTAATGTATTGGCGCCTCGTTTCACCAGCAGATATACATTTATTTAAAAAGTAAGTAATATAATAAACAGGTGTATAATCGCATTTTAAAAGAGAACCTTTTATGCTTCATTTAAGATATTTAATACTCTTAGTATGATTATCATTAAATTTAATAATTCACTAATCTGAATTCAGTGTTTATTGATAATATTATGGAGAAATTGAAATCATAAAGACAAAACGAAGTGTTGCCATTCAGAGTAAAACTAACATTGATCCAGTTATGGTATTGTGTTTGTACTGGTCTCCCAATAAATAAAATAAATGATGAATAAAATCATTCTACAATATAGCTATTAAATATTGTCCTCACCAATATGGGTGTATTCTTATACTAAATATGATATATTAATAGTATGAAGATTGTATACAGAATTGTCTCTACATGATATTTCATTAGCATCTTGAAGGAATTCATAATAAAGCGAGATGTAGTTTCTTCCTATCTTCTCCACCCTCTAAGATGAAAATATTTAGAAGTTTGATAGATTGAACATCAAAGTAGACCAATGATAAGGTGTTTCAAATGCCATAAAAATGACTAACCGGTAAAACGACGAGTTTGATCAACTCGGACGAAATACTTACTAATTGTATCCTAGACGAGAACAGTTAATGACTTAAATTAGTTTCCAACCAAATATTTTATTTCAGAGTGAAACTAAAATAGAATTTCAATACTAAATTTTACCTAGTTTTATTATTCCCATCGTCAAATATGAATCTTTTAAACGATGTATTTTTATTCTATGAACTAATCTTGATTCAATCAGAATATATAGTTTTATAGAACACGGATACTGTGAAATTGTTTAACACTCGGTTTGTTAATTCAATAAATTTTGAATAAAAAACTAGTCTAACTGTTCAAATTCTCAAGAAACATTCTTGTTAAGTTATTTTTATTTTCACATATTATTTGTAATTTACAAATACTACTAATTAACAGCCATTTGATTGATATTGGCTTTATTATCAGTTGTTATACTGTAGAAAAAAATCATCAGATATTACTGAGAAAACATTTTTTTGGTCCATTTACATGAATTTCTAAAGAATAAAAACAACAGTTATTTAGTCTCTTCCTTTCCGCATAAGCAAAAGAAGGGAAAGAGTTAAATTATTCACTGAATTCAATATGTCATTATTATGGTTGAAAGGATGATATTTAATGTTATTTGACAAAGTTAGAATCGTTTAAAGTTGAATTCCTAAACGATCGGCATTCAAGTGTCGCAAATCAAATGTCATTAATCAGTCACAATTCTTAATTAAGAGCTCTTTTTTACAATAACTTATATATATAGTTTTTAAATTTAACTTACTCCGTAAGTAGTTCAACAGCTTCTGTAATATTATGCTTGCTTAACACACTTGTTTCAATGAATGAAACATGATGTAACTAAAAAAGAATGAGGCAAAAATTTTTAACACGATCAATGTTTTTCTGTATGTGGCTATCAGAAAAAATGATAAATAATTAATGCAAATCTACATTCTACAATATATATTAAAATTACTTAATTATCCAATATAGTTTGATCATTTAATTACAAGACAAAACACATTCAGTATCTAGTTCTTATGAACAGATTGAAAGAAACTTTACGGCAGTGTTTTCGGCAATGTTGATATGGATGTATGATAAAAGTGTATTACACTAATCGAATATACTTAGGGGCATTTAAGAAGAGAGTAGTAACAGTTTTACACCTTACGTTCAGAAAGAAGTTTAGTAAAAACTCAAAAATACAATTAAACTGAGTATAAACAAGTAGTACTGACAAATATATGTCAACAACTTTGATAATCGAATGTTTCGCTGTTAGAAACCATATTTATAAATCATTTTAAGTCAACACATAATCTGTCTTAATGCAGATATATATCATTACATGAAGGGAAATGCATGAATACGGTCTATCCATTATTATTACATATTAAGAGGTAGTTCTTCTAGGGTTACTGCAGGTCTCAAACCCGGGTAAAGCAAGAGGGTTGGGCATGGAGTCTGCAATCTCATCCCACAGAAAACAAGCTCGCTATAAGACGCTAACTAGAATAAAAAATTTAAGTGAGTAAGAGATAGACGATTAATGTACAATGATTTTGACATAAACTGATTATGTTATGCAGAATGAAACATTTCTCACTTACTTTAGCTACATTGGCACCCATTTCATATGTGATGAACTTGTGCGATTCATCATGTTTCATATCATCATTATTATTATAACTTTCTTTAGTATTGTTACTACTGGTATTGCGTAAATCAACTTTATTACCAACTAGAAGAATTGGAACATTTTCTTCACTTGTCGATTCCTTTTTATCAAACAAAAAGAGGTTTTCGAAAAAGTTGTCAGTAATAAATTTAATGAAGATTGTTTATCAAATTTTTGTAAAGTTACACGTACATATGACTTTAATCATATGATTCCAAATTTTTTTCTCAATGACTATTAATATGGTATTCAACCATAACTAATATCACTACGTGCTGAATAGTTAATTTACCATATCATATGCTTTGGTAGACACAGTCCTTCAGAAAGTTTCAATAACAATATATATATATATATATATATATATATATATATATATATATATATATATATATATATATATGATATTTAATTTTACTAAGTATTTAATCAATTAAAGATTATTTGCGTTTTGTAGACTGAAATGTAATCTTCACTTATCCTTGAACATTGAGCATATCCAGGTTGGTGAAGTATTTAGCCAACGAGTGTTTAAATTGGGTTAACGTAGATGGTTATTACAATCATAAATGGCTACTGATTTTGAAATCATTGATTAAAGTTGGTGAATAGTAGTTCATGTTTAGATTCAAATCTTGATTTCTTTCCAACATGATTATTCCTAGATCCAGTATACACTGATAAGAAAATTTAAGTGGTATTGTATCTAATATAAGCATCCATAAAATTTTCTACAAGAACTTATTGGCATAAAAATTGATTGTCAAGTAGTAAGTCTCAAATCCACATGGAATATACGGTGTTGTTAGAAAGTTTGGTGATTTCTAATGGTATCACTTGTTAAATAACTAGTTAATCTATCAGCAAAGATATATTATTATCCTTTAATTCAATTTGAAATGATTTTGATCATCGCATTGTTGATATTCTGGCTAAATTTGACCAGCCTGGGTTCTAGTCCCGGAGTGAACATCAACTCTGGCATTCAGGTATGTCAAGCTGACAAGTACCAAATATGACGAAATGAGAGTCCTGGATTCCATTGTAAGCCACATTCTATCTTGGTATTCTTCATTTGTGATTAAAAGATATCTCTAGAGACTTCGTGGGAAAGAAGTAATAACGACATATGCTATTTAAAATGTAAAGCTTGAAATGATGTCAGTGGTTAAACAGTTTATGTATGAATTAACGTGTCATTTATTGCTTTACCAACTTTCAGCTAGTGGTGAAACAGTGTAATATCATATATGATATACTAAAGATATAAAACAAATGAGAAGTCTTATGCACATGAATTGCGCAATAAAAGAGCAAACTTCTTATCATCTAAGATGAATAGAACTTCATCTGTTAATTAAATAATCAATAATAAACAATGAGAAATAATTGTCTTTCTAACATGACATCTTTGTTGGAAACGAAACTTTCCTCCATTAGACCATTTAATTTACAAGACTAGAAGTACCAGTATTTTAACACACGTTTAGTTATGGTTACAATCGATCCTAAAAACCTTTGGATGTTGACTAAGTTGCCCTTGTCTTTAGATCTGAAGGTCTTGGGTTCGATCTCTGGTAGGGTTGTGAATAAGCACTATTGAAGAGTCATATGCTAGGACAAAGCAGCTATCTAGCTCATTCTGGTTTTCAGTAGTGACCTGGATAATAGTGAACAATCTTCACATTCTGTATGCTGATGTCAAGAAGTTAGTTATCTAATATTCTAATTACACATTCTGACATTTTCAAACACTCCATGTGACAGTTACAAACCGACTGGTAAATATTTATAAAAAAATAGATCTCTATGCTGAAAAATCGGTTCTTCATAAAAATCAACAGTATATACCTAATTCTCTGACATCACAAATTTTTAATCAGAAATATGATATAAATCCACCTACTTTTATCATTTCCATCCAATATTTGATATTTGCAAATGTATTAGGTTGATCAACTGCATACATTAAAATTACACCGTCAATTTTGCGGAAATATGAACGAACAATACAACGATACCTAGTAAAAAGAAACGTATCAAGAATAAAATGTATTTATGCATTTACCATTGACTAAATGATAAAGCAGACGCTTTTTTTCATATTTTCTTAGACATAATCAAAGTGGTCAGCAAATAACTAATGAAATGTTAAACACAAGTGTATTCTGATAGAGAAACTGCTCATAAAGATATAAGTTCCAGTTATAATCAATACAGAGCCTGACATAAATATGAATTAGCCTAGATTTTCATCCGACAATAAAAATATAAAATGAAACTAACAAGATAAATACCAAAGGAATCAAGATGATGCAGTACCAATTAATAATGGCTTTATTCAATATTATATGCTGAATATACGATGAAATTCTCAACATAAAATATTTTAGCAAGTTTCTCTTACACTTCTCATATAAAAAATATCTGCACGTATATACGTGAAATAAGTAAAGAGGTTATGTAAAAATGAAATAATAAAGAAAATGAAATTCTATACAACTGTGAATACAAGTCTTTGATCAGATTAATTCACACAATCTGTTAGTCTTACAGTGGATGCGCTAGATACGGTACTGTAGAGCTTCCGTGCTTTTCTTTCTAAATATGGATTCTAAGGTATCCACATCTCGTTTTACTGGAAGACATACAAGGAGAAAGATTTGTATGGCGTGGATGATTATTATTTTATAAAATAATACTTTTCAGTAGTTTGCAGGATCTCGAATGTCTATCAGCAACCATATTCATCATTATATCAAAAGATTTACCCCCTACCTTACAAACTCCATTTAGCATTCTCCGCAACACAACCAAAAACTTTTCTCAAAAGTCCAGGAGGGAATAATAGCTAGTATGCAGGAATTTATGGATCGTAAAAGTAAACGTTTGATAATTCCAGGGGCATATAGCAAATCAGGCGAAAAAATCCCTTTGGTATTAACAAGGCATGATAAGACCAAGAGAGACCAGAAAAAAATACATACACCAAAACAAACAATGTTTAACAGTTTTTTTAGAGATCCCTTAATAACATGGTGTTTAAGTGTTTTCCATGCCTTAGGCTAAAGTTAGTGGTTCAGAATTTGGATGTCTTAGATTCAAGACCGACAAAAACAGACCTTCGTCCAATGAGTGTAAAAAACTCATGCATTACGAGTGCATTAGAAAAGCAAAAAACTGACGTACATACAGTAATATCATTCGCATACTTAAAAAAAGTGTTTCTGATGGAAGATCATTCCTAAAAAAGGAGGATGGAAATGGAAAAAGAACGGCTCCTTGTTGTACACCAGCTTGAATTAATAAATCAGTAGGATACATTCTACCATGCATAATATTCACTTTCAGTAAAGTAAGAAAACAGCAAGTTGGTTATTCACATTTTGGTGTTAACACTGGGAAACAAACATAATAACGCTAGTCTTTGAACACAGTCAAAGGTAGGTGTGTGACTGGAAACTGCACGTTGAATATATTTCCTACCCCTTTTGAAACAGAAATAGGGAACATCGGGAACATGGCTTGCACGCACCTGTACAACTGTGAATGATTCTGAGACATGTTATCTAACACCTGCAACCACTGATCACAATTATTGCGTAAACTCCAACCTGATAGTCTATATCTACCAACATACTTCAGGCCTATACTCAGTGATTTCATGGATTGACGTCATATTTTGGTTTAAAAGCCAATAGCCTTCTTCCAAACCATTTCGACATCAATAAATATCACTCGTCAAGGTAGGTAATAGTTCAGTATACATAACATATGTCCTATCTACCTCAGTCAGTGAGGATTTACCTCATCAACCGATTCGCCAACCTTGTCAAGTACCATATGCCCAACTACAACATTGTTCACTCGATCGCTATACGATATCATAGGCGAATAATTTATGTCTGAATAATTAACTTTAAAAATAATTATGTAAAAAAATAATTGATACAATTTGATGATTGTTCTCAATTAAGAATTATCAGCATTGCAATCAGAGAGTAGTTAACAACCAGCACTAAATAACGAGCTAATAATACTGTTTTAGATTGACTGTCGTTAAAATTATTCTTTTGATGAGCTGTCATTTGTTTAAACAACAAATTAACAAGTCTTTCGAAAAGGACATTTTGTTATGTGAAGAAAAATGAAGTGAAATTTTATTTTATTTTGTCAAAAAATCACCGAAAGTAGATAAACCATGAAAGACTATCATGATGAATAAGTATCAGTGACACTAAGAAAATAGTTGTAACCGTTTGTACCTAAAAAAATAAATCTTTTCGTAAATATACATATATTGGAGAGAAAATATAAAACTAATAAGCTATCGGAATAGTCATCTCCAATAATCTCAGATCAGTTAGTATATCTATCAAAACATTGAGAATGTAGTGAAAAACCTTTTGCTCGAATAAAATTTGAATACATAAACAATGAGAATTTTCTAGTATTTTCCATTAATCCAGTAGAACTTGTCACTATAACTGTCTAGTTAATCTTCATTCCAACAAAAATAATCTTAAATGTAAATGAAGATTTATTCATTCACCAACCATGGATTTCATCATTAATTTCTAACTGATTAAAAAGACATTGAAAATGATGTTATATATGTCGTTTACCTAACAGATTAATAGTTACGTTTGAATACATTAAAATAGGCAGGAGTTGAAATCGATGAAAAAACAACCTGATATACGTATATAACTTACAACATCAATGGATCAACTGCTTCAACTAATAAATATAACTACATAAATGAATTAAATTTATTTTTAATTCTTCCTAATAGCTTACAACTTACGTCTCTTGTCCAGCAGTATCCCATAATTGAATAGTGTACACTGAATTATTCATTTTAATATTTTTTGTTCGAAAATCAACTCCTTTAACAGAAAAAGAAAGATAAACAACTGATTGAAACAAAATAACTTTTAAACATAAATTTTGATATTATCAGTAGATTATAGCTTTCTTCTATACAATCTAAACTACATAGTAATTTGAAAAAAAGATGATACAAATTGAATTTACAGAAATCTTATTTATTAAATTAGTTGATCCATGTGTAGATAATTGAAGGGAGTCGATAAAAAAAAATGGATCTAGTTTCCGTGCTATTTAACACCCATCAGAAACACCTAACATTTCAATATAGTGGATATGATAGCGAGTCACTCAGACTTGCGTCTACATTACCACTTGATCGACAGATATTCGATCGGCATTAAAGAACTAGACAGATATGACAGCATTCATTACCAAGTGATCGGCCAGTTGTAATTTGTCTACGGCTGACGAAAATACTGAAAATACTAAGCTGAGATGTAAGGCACTTAAAAACTATCGAGAACAGATCAGTTGTTTTGTGTTACTTTACATGTCTTCAAAAATATGCATTACTAATAAATATTTGAGAGTAAGATTTAATATTTTTTCAAGTGTCGAGTACACTCACCAAATACATTGATAAGGTGATAAATCTTCATCAGTTGAGGTGGTGAGACATGTTATACGTTAGCCAGACCACCACCTACCTCGACGAGAGATGTTGTCTGATGTAAGAGCAAGATGCAAGAAAGCTAGTAGCGGCCAAACCAAAACATGGCATCAGTCTGTGAAGTCATTAACGATTGAAATGAACTATGTCAATAGGTGTAAACTATCTGGATGGGGTTCATGTGAATATCTAATGGATAAACAACTACCTATTTGTTCTCATCAAAAGAAAACCAGCCTCATGAATAAGGTCAACAAACGCTTGATGAATGGATAGAAAATGATAGTTTTTCAAAAACGCTCCCTTAATATAAGCTTCTATCGATTATACTTAAATTGTAATTTGATTTGTTCTCTGTAAAAAGCTTTGATGAATTAGCTCTGATGGTAAGAAAAATTAACAATTATATTTTTTCCACAGATGATTCTGCTGTGTTTAAAGCGATTAAGAGGTCACCTAGTCTGCGAACGGAACAAAGACTCTATGACTAAAGACCAATAAGCTAGCTATTCTGATGCGTCCCAGCCCAGCTAACTAGGGAGGGAAGTCGAAGTCCGAAGGGGGAAATATATTCCGCAAGCAGCCACAAGCACGAGCGATCCCGACCCATCTAGTCGGAAATACATTCATTTATATATTGGTTTGTACACTCATTTTTTTGATTATTAATCAGAATAAATCACATATATGAAAAATACTTCATACAAGAATATCGTATGTTATACAGAATAAAATGTCATAGGGGAAAACGAAACAAATATTATACTGAGTCATCATCAAATTGAATTAAACGGAATTAATGTTGAATAAAAATCATAATGAGTAAATCAATCTAGTTTTGACTCTTCATCCCGTCATAACAGATTCACATGGTTCATTTGTAAATAACCACTAGATTAGGTTAACTGTTTTCTACAATTTATTCTTCAAATTCCATCTTGGAAGTATGTCTCACTAACTGAATCATAATCATTGAAAAACTCAGCATGGTTATTTTTAATGAAATAAAGAAACGGTAAATGTTGATGATGAAAAAGTTACTCATTTCTCCCTGAAATTGTCAAAACTATTTATTCAACTTACCTAAAGTAGTTCTAAGTTGTGGATAAAATATTCCATCACAAAATCGATATGAGAAACTAGATTTGCCAACACCTGAATCCCCGACTAAAATCACTTTAAATATACGTGTTGGTGTTAAAGATTCTGTGGGGTGTTGTTCTTCAGCATTATTTTCCAGAGCTATAAATTCATTCTTATCATAATTGGAACCACTGACACTGCTAATATTCTCACTAGAGTAATCTGAGCGTCGACATGTGGAGTCAAGATGATGATTTTGTTGGCGTTGAAGTGGTAGAATATTTTCCAGACTGTCAAATTCATACGGCTAAAATGAGTGAAATACATGAAAATTAAGACGCTTTTTTAAGTTCGTTCTCTACTAGCAACTCAATTAAATTAGCCAGAGACGGTACAGATATTGTAAAATGTCGCTTAATTTGGTCAATGTGAAAATCATGGAAAACTTAGCGTTTAGTAATTACTAAAGACATGTTTTTCTATAAAAACAATGGTCGATTTTAGAAATCAAGATCTACTTTGATGATGGGACAATAATGTCTCATTGAGGATCATATAACTATATTAATTGGTTCAAGTTATTTACAACATGGTCACTATGATAAACAGGACCTAATAAAATTATTAAACACAAAAGTACCGAAGGCAAACTTATAAGCAGAGTGGAGAAAACATGATTTAAAACCAGAAGTGAACAGTTCCTAGATGAGCAACGAACAAATAACTTATATACTTAATCTGCCCACCAACAAAATACGGTATTCTACTATTTTTGTTACCTATGTTGAGAATATGATTTGATTGGTGAGGAGAGTGGTCCATTATACAGACTATATGCTTCACAACTTCCATAAGAATTGTGATATGAAATCGTCAAAATAAAATTCAAACATCTCAGATATCAGCTGTATTAATTTTATCATGCAAATCGATAATCCAGCGACAGATAAGAGACTATTATTAGACGGTTAAATTACCAAAATTTATCAATAACCCAATGGGTAGCGTTTTTTAATCTCTGCTCAAAATTATTATTTCTGGGATGATTGTTTGATTGAAAACAGATTACTTATTTATTGAACCCATCTGTAAATCAACACGATAGATATACCAGTTGGAAACTCAACCCATCAATCGTTCACTTCTAATATCAGATCATTGCTCAATAGGATAACAATTCAATACATTGATATCTTGAACTGTAGGTTGTAAAGCTTAAAACACTTAATAGAAAAATTTATAAGTTACATCAGAATTCATCTAAACTTCTGAATTATTTACTATTAGTCAAATTATGACTACTCTATTAAAGTTCATTGAATAGATCTACATTAAACTGTATAAAAACATTAGATACTTAAGAAACATTTCGAATAATCATACATTATTAAAATTAATATCCTAAATTTTCTAAACATAATAACAATAAATACAAAAATGCGTAAAACTTGTTCAAAATTCAATTAAACAATTCATTCTGTATTATTATTATTATTATTATTACCCAATATACGTGCTCGTATATGGTTAAATCAATGTTTGTAAATACTATGTTTATTGTAAGTTAGAAACTGATCTCATATGAGATTTAAAATATTTTTATATAATAATATGATCCAAGTATGTACTTATTATTGGACATTAATAATTGTCCTTTATTCAGTGTTATTATCAGTATTTACAAATGACGAATAGATCATTAATATACAATTTTAAATGCATTAGTCATATGCAAACTCTTAAATAAAAAAAATTTTTTTATACACTGTCCATCAAATTAATTTTCTTTATATATATATCTTTTGGTTTAGAAATGATGATATCAATCATGAGATATTTAAATATGTCAGCCGTTCGTGATTGATTTCTCAAAGTAAAGTTTTACCTTAGGCATTTTTGTGGAGAACATATTTTGAAATAATATTTTATTGTTTGATAAAGAAAAGCTATTGCTACAAGACGCCTTTCTATTAAATAATATTTCCTCTGCAGTGCAAAATTACAAAAGCCGGATACTGTGATCTGTAAGTTTATTTATTTGAACACACAAAAACATTGATATAAGAAGACACTAAATACATATGCGCCACACAATAAGAATGAGGCCAGTGACAGTTTGTGTGTGGGCTGTGATAATGTCCGCAGCCCAAACAGAAAAAGGTGGTTTTCTTAGAGGGTCACATTCCGAGCCTTTGACCTGCAGGTCTAATCCACAAGGCAATGGAGTGACATCAGGAGATGCAGTCCCATAGTAGCCGGTGACCAACAATCGATTCACACGCCTTTTGTTCCCTCAGGATCATGGAGCCCATGTACACCATTGGTTTGGAATCAAGGCTTTTCAACCCCACCTTCCGAGGTGGATCACCCACATCCATCAACCCGGTTAAAGCGCCGGACATTCACTTTGTGTTCTCCCAATTTCTTAAACAACACCCCCTTCACGAGAAGGCAGTGAGTAGAACTTTCCTGACGGTGTCTGCCTTCGCGTGGCCGTGTGAAAACATTTGAAGAGGAAGAGAGAACTCTCCCCACCTTCAGCCGTACCACGGCATTTGGGGGCGTGAACCGTAAGACTATGACTTGGTATGCGAATGATACAATCTAGATTTATGAGTCAATACCCCAATGTAATTGTGCAATCCTTAATTACCAAGATAAAATAATTATTAAGATCCACTCTCTGATTTTCAATAAATCACCATCAGATGATAATCTGCAATGAAAACAATCTTTAAGTGGAATGAATCGCTATAATCTCCCTCTAGCCTAATTTATACATTTACCACAGTTTTAAATGTCATCGACTGAACCAGAAACCACCTTATTCTTGTCCAACTTCACAAGTTAACAGTCATACTTGAAGTAACAGTCTTCTTAATAATATTTTTAAGGGTTAATAGGTCATGTATACATATTTAAAAAAACAATGAAATATAAACAATATTTATCTTGTCAGTATGTTCTAAAATTAATACTGAACATATTGAAAACAATCAGTTACCATTATGATTAGAGACCGGTTACAGGTAGACAACTTAATGGTCTGGAATAAATAATTTTCTTTGTGGCATATATACTTACTGAAACTTACAACATTATTATAACGTGACAGCGAATGAGTTGATATATGAAACGTCAAATCCCCTAACCATACAATAGGAAACGTCTTTGATTCAATTTTCAGCTTACCGATCTATGAATTGTACAATTATCCCACTTCAGAAAGACACATTTTCTATTCATATATTTACAGTAAATTAAACAATGTAGTTATTTATGATAATGAAAATATACTACTTATGGACGATTTGTTCGTTTACAGTAGTATTATTCTTAATACCAAACTTGTGTCAGAAATCTATTCTTTGTTTTGTAAATCACTGTCTTAAAAGTGAAAAGTTTTAACACTTAGAATCTTTAGAATGTATGATAGAACTTGAACGTGATACTGTCCAGCAAACTGTACGAATTACTACTACTTACAAACATATTGAACAAAGAATGATAGTTCTAATATAATCCGATAGAATTCTATATTATAAATTAGACACGTTTTATCGTCCTGAATTTAGGAGGAAAATAGGTAAACAACTAGATCTTTACAAACACAACATAAAAACGTATACACATTCATACAACCATACACACAAACAAAAATGCATACGTACATATATACATAAAATGAAAATAAGAGAAATAATCCGTTACAAAAAAAAAGATAAACAACAATTTAGGATGTAAACAACAACCATTAGTTAATACCAAAGAGGAAAACAACTAGTGAGAAAATTCTCATATTAATTTTTGGCTATCACACCTAGCTGATATGAAATTCGAAGATCAGATAAATTGGAAACTGAATTAAATGTATATATATATATATATATATATATATATATATATATATATAAGCCTAGTTAACTTAGTAGTATGTGCCTACTAGTTCAGTTATAAACAAATAAGAGCTAGAATGAATGGATAACAGAGCTCATTTTGATCATTAAATAATTCATGCTCGTAATAAAGATGCTAAAATAAATAATCTGAAAAGGCAATGGATCAAGATATTTGTGTTGAACAATTATTAAAAGTAATCGACAAGTTCAATGGGTATTTTTAAAAGTGAGAGATCTACTACTACCAGTAGTCGATATATATATATATATATATATATATATATATATATATAGTATTATATTACAAGCAAGTTTAAACCTGTTCAAATAAAACAAAGAAACTCTTCAATCATATTGAATACTTTAGATAATATGTAAATGATTTAATAGATGGCCTGCCTTTTCCTGGCTTTAGGTTACAACATATTATTATTCTATAAATTATGAATTAAATTAACGTGATTATAAAAGATAAACAAATAGTGAATGATTGTTTATAGATTAATTTTTCGGTTATATTGTATCATTAAATGTTTCATTAAATTATTAATTCATTTTTCAAGTGTATTCAATGACTTCATTTAAGAGTTTTACTCCTCTATCTATTCTTTTTTTGCTTCTGTCTCTTACTTTCTTTCAATCCACTTCCTGTAAAAATAGTCATTTAGTTAACAAAATATATTTGGCTTTAATCTTTATACTATCATTAAGATTTACAGATTAAATAACTTCCCATTTACATAGTGACCTTTTTAACTTATTTTTCCAGTATATGTTTTTGAAGTGAGGTTAATATAAATAAATATGGTTAGCAAACTTTATTGACTTTTGTAATCTAATAGTATGTTAATCCTATAGGATTTGAATGATGTAAAAATGTTGTGTTTAATGCGCAAACAACTATTTACTAAAGTGGTTATATACTCAACTGAAAAATTGAAATATTTTCATTTTAAAAATTTTCGTCTTATAAGAAAAATTTACAGCGATTTCATCATATTAAAGCTGAACAATCAAATAATACTGAAAAGTATGTGACAATCATATTTTTTCTATTCTACTTCACTCAAGATGTAACATACAACTTTAATTTATACAACGATAAGAAGTAAAAACTATACATATTACTGGGATGCTACTGCATTTATTATCGAACACAATACACCGTTTAGAAATCTTAAAATGGAATAGAAAAGTAATTGCTTTAGTAACTAATCATTCCCAGTAAATGCTTAGTTGACGTTTCTTTTGTGTTAAATCATAGTGTTTCATAAAGTAGAATATTTAACAAATCTTGTCCATAATCACTAGTTTCTCACGTTTTTACTCCAATTAATACTGGATAATAATAACATAGGCTATTATTAGTTATTTCATCTTTGTTTTCAGTCCTAAGGTCATTTGAAAC